CAGCAACATGGCACAAGTATACATATGTAACACACCTGCACATTATGCACATGTACCCTAGAACTTAAAGTATAATAATAATAAGAAAGAAAGAAAGAAAGAAAGAAAGAAAGAAAGAAAGAAAGAAAGAAAGAAAGAAAGAAAGAAAGAAAGAAAAAGAAAAGAAAAATGCAAATACTTAATTTACCCTCAGGTGTTAACAATGACTGAAAATTGGCTTGCTAAAGTGTTAATCATTCTCAGATGTTTGCATTTTGTCACTTTAAGGCCCTAAAAGAGTGGTTATTAGCTCAAACTGTGTATTATCATCATCTCAGAAGATTTTTTAAAACTACCAATGAATGCCTGGGCCTCACCCATGTCGGAGTTGCTCATAAAACAGATAGAAACAGATAGGGTGAAACATGTACCTAAGAAATGGCTCTTGTTAGTAATTTTAGTAATCTGTAACAAGATGATGAGGGAATATATATATAGAGAGAGAGTATTATTTATATATGTAATACATATATATGGATTATTTATATATGTAATACATATATATGGATTATTTATATATGTAATACATATACATGGATTATTTATATATGTAATACATATACATGGATTATTTATATATTTAATACATATACATGGATTATTTATATATGTAATACATATATAAGGATTATTTATATATGTAATACATATATAAGGATTATTTACATATGTAAAATATGTGCATACACATACACACATATATATATATTTTTTGTTCAGCTGGCCTTACATTCATGTTTTTTTTGAGTGCTCCTTCTTTCTCCTCCAAAGTCCAAGAATTCTGCCTACTGTTACCAGACCATTTTTTTAAAACTCATTTCAAAGAATCATTCAGGAGGAGGGTGCCTATTCCTGTACCTTACTCCAGAACTCTGCATTAGGATCTGTAGGAATCTGCATTTTAACAAATTTTTGAGACTGACTAATGCTTAAGTTTGAGAACCACTCACTGCACTAGGCAAACTCAAGAGCAGACCTATCAGTATTGGAAACTGATTGGAGTTAGTGCTAATTCTTTCATTTCTCCAAGTTACCTTGCAGTCACTCATAGATCCCAGACATCAAAATATACACCAAGCTTCATCTTTGACTTATCTTAGAGAGAGTGTGTGTGTGTGTGTGTATATATATATATATGTATGTATATATGTATACATGTGTATATATATATATACACACACACACACATTTAAATATGGGATACATTTAATGAATTGTTTGATATGACATTTGCATTGCCTTATGTCCAGCTATGTTTTATTCACCTCACCATTTATTTAACATTTATCCAGCATCATCTAGCATAAGTTACTGCCCAGCAATAAATGCAAACAGATTCACTTCCCTCGAGGAGCTAAGGGACCAGTCAGAGAGAATGATGTTAATGCAACTAACACAATGCAGAATGTGGTAAGTGCTAACATCAAGATCCGGAACAAGAATAAGCACAAGAATATTCCAAAAGACTTTATCTGAAAAGGATAGCAGATGAGTTGGGCCTTGAAGAATGGGCTATTTTACAATGGGCGCCTAGAGCCCAAAGACAGACAAACTGCTGAGGACCAGGATGGGCCTTGGCTCATGCTGTTGTTCCCTCCTCCCCAATGGCTGTTAACACATCGGGTCTTTCTGGTGAATTCTTATTTATCCTTCAAATCCTAGCTGTGGTTCTGCCTCCTCTGTGAAGCTCCTACCTTCCCTTAGGGTTAAATACATCACCCCTTCTTTGTTCTACTACTTAACTTGCAACTGCTGCAATACTAAAAACATCATGTTAGTCTCAGTTATATAGAACGATTTATATACATATATATATAGAACTGCCTCCACACTAGATTGTGATCAGCTTGGTAGCAGAAATCATGACTTACTCATCTTTGATTATTCAACACTTGGCAGACCACCTGGTATAGTGAATATGGATGTAATACATGTTTGTTGATTTAAAATTTATATTGTAGCGGTTGTAAGCCAAACTGATTGGTTTGTATGCTAAGTCTACAACTTGATCGCTATGTGAAATTAGTAGTAAATAACTGAAAATAGTAAATACCACTGATACTGATATTTGACTACCTGAAAATAGTAAATACCACTAATAGTGAGATAAGGATAAAATGAGTTAATACATGTAAAGTGTATAGGAAAGTGGTTCATTGTTAGTGTTCAATAGTATTTTCTAATTATTAATTTGCTAATAATTTTTTGTTCTTAGTAAAACTGAATAGGTCTTTCTCTATATCATTCTCCATGGAATTCATTTTACTCTGCTACTTACACATTGAAGTGCTAGGACAAGGGGGCTATCCACAAATGCATCCGTGACATCTTATTTTGATATAGGACTGCCATTCCCAGCACTTAGAGGAGTCTTTTATGAATATTGTCTTGAGTCACAACACAGCATAAAGCATCTTATAGCCAGTGATATAGTGAGGTCCCAGGGATTGTCACAAGCTACCCCATGAATCAATGGAACAGCCCAAGCCGGACTCTAAACTTTTCAGGTCAATGCCACCTACTCTTACTACTAAGGACTGAGACATTTTCAAAGTGACTCTTAACTGTCACACTACATGTTTACCAAGCAGGTACATTCATAATGTCAATTTCATCTTTCTAAGTGAATAAATGGAGTTTCTCTCCACCTGTAATATAGAGGAGGTTATGTTATCTTTCCTTTTCTATTACTGGAGAAAAGCTCTGAAGCAGTGGCTGGCATAAGCTGTCTTGCAGAGGACACCATGCAGTCCACCAATTCAATCTCTAAAGCAGAAGTTCTCAACCTGGGGTAATTTGGCAATGTCTGGACATATGTTTGGTTGTCACAATTGGAGGACGCTAGTAGCATTCTAATGGGTAGAGACTGGGGTGCTGCTAA